TGCTTTTGTTGTGCTGCTTTTATCCCTGCTGCTACTACTACTTCTACTGCTACTGCTACTGCAACTGCTACTGCTACTCCTACTACTACTCCTACTACTAGTACTACTACTATGACTACTACTACTAATACTACTTCTGCTAATGCTATTGCTGCTGCTACTGCTACTGCTACTGCACTTGGTATTGCTACTGCTACTGCTACTGCTACTGCTACAGCTACTGCTGCTGCTGTTGCAACTACTACTACTACAACTACTACTACTGCTACTACTACTGCTATTGCTACTTCCACTGGTGTTGCTGCCGCTGCCACTGCTGCTGCTACTGCTACTTCGACTGCTACTACTCCTACTACTGCTACTACTATAACTGCTACTACTCCTCCTACTGCTACTGCTACTCCTGTTACAACTACTGCTATTCCTACTGCTACTGCTACTGCTATTGCTACTGCTACTACTACTGCTACTGCTACTGCTGCTGCTACTGCTACTGCTACTGCTGCTGCTGCTACTGCTACTCCTGCTGCTACAGTTACTACTACTGCTGCTCCTACTACTGCTACTGCTACTACTACTGCTACTGCTACTACTGCTGCGGCTGCTACTACAATGACTACTACGACTACTACTACTACTACTACTACTACTACTACTAGTACTGCTACTTCATCGATCCTAGCACCATTGAGCTCCGCATCATGGAGTTGATCAATCATGTTCAAAACATGTGCCTTGACTGAAGAACCTTTCTTCATCTTGTCATTCATGAAAGCCCTAACAGCATCCAAACGGGCCTTTTCAGAGGGAGCACTGAACATGGCTTCTAGAGACTCCATTATCTCATAAGCAGTCTCTATCTCCTCATGCTTCTTGCGAAGCACATCGCTCATACTGGCCAGCATAAAGCACTTTGCTTTGTTGTTGGCCTTGATCCAGCGATCATAAGGCTCCCTTGCAGTTTTGGTTGCATTAGCCATGGGTTCAGGAGGACATTCCTGCACTAGGACAAACTTGTAGTCTTCGCAGACCAATAGTATGTTCATGTTACTTTTCCACTTAGCATAGTTATCACTGTCTAATTTTTCAGTCGCAAGTAGTGTGATAATGGGATTCGACATATTGCTGGAAATAAATAGAATATTCATCTAATCAATTTATGTGCATGAATATCAAGGCATGTTAATTTTGACACAATTAAATATGATGCATGAAGCACATGAAAAATACATAAATCATGTTTTAATTTTAGGTGCCAATGATAATCTAATTTTCCACATATAAAGTGTACCTTTGGGTAGTCAAGTTATATGCCAATTAGACCGAGACTCTTCTCAATTAATAAATATAGTCAAAATATCTCATATTTTCATATTTATTAACTACCGTTATTTTTAGTCAAAATATAACCAATAGATTTGATTATATTTTATGAGTGTAACCCACCGTTTCAGATCCCATAGACTTAACTCCGGATTGCTACCTTTGGGTAGTCAATTCAAAAATACATCTTGAAACCTTATCTCTAGGAACCCAACCTTGTTATTGATCCGGCAACGACACTCTCCTTTAGGAGGGCGATTCAATGTCGCTGCAAAGCCCCTTTCCGGATCTCACGGTGTTGCGCTAACGGTGGAGACTAGTGGGTCGCATTGTCATACAACCCTCTCCCACTCATTATTTTACAAATATGTATTTTGTTTGAAAAAACATCTCATGATTTTCAAATCGAAAAATAAACAATT